CATGATAATTAATGTCAATCTATTATAATAGGTGTCTAAGTTCAGTACATTGGTCAGTTCTATGGGTAAGCAGACCATATCCCGTATTGCTAAAGCTGGACCTGAATCAAAGGTACAGTATACAGTAATACAGTGTTTGTTCACGTTGGGTGGGTTGGTTTCTATTGAGTACTGGTCATGTGATTCTTCTCTCCCTCTCCTCCTCTTCCACTCCTCTAGGCTCGTTTGTTACAGAGTTTAGGTATACAGTCTGTTCTCATTACTGATGGTAAAACTCCAATTAATATGATTGGGAACCAGACAGGTGGCTATGCTACTACTTATGCTCCTTAGAAAACTCTTTGAGGAGGAATATTATATCATTATTTGTGTTAGTTATTAGTTGTTTTTAGCTGGATTTATATAGTTTTCAGATATATTATTATTCTATTTTTGCATGCAAGTTGATAGTATATGGCGGGACTATAACAGAAATTTGAAAAATGCACTATACAAAAAAGTTTAAAATTACCATAGCCGCTTTAAATTTGAATGACCGCATTAAAAATTAAAAAATAGATACAATTATACTTATATACTATAAGAGGTTGAAAAGTTAAATAGGAAAATTCGACAATTCAAATAACAGGGCCCAGGAGTTCAATTCTAATCCCCAACAACAACATTTTTGGGGACAGCATTTCTTGGGACAACTAGACTGCCAAGATGATTAGAAGACACCTCGCCACACACGGGAAGTTTTCCTATAACAAGAGCGCTTCTTGAATTCTTGTATTCGATGCATGGCAGATCGAGGCTTATTTGCCAGATTTTCTTCTTTATGGGATTGATCGCTTCACAATTGTAATCCATTTCTCGGAAAAGAAGTGTAGTATCTGTGGTAAGTCTTGACAGAGGTAGCTAGAGTCCAAAGAAGCGGCTCCCTTTTTGTTTGGTGCAATTTGTCACCGCCCTTTATATAGACTAGGGTAAATCATTTTCCCTTCAAAAGGCCTGTATCTGGCTTGCTTTCTCCTACAATTCTCCATTTCTTGGCGCCTTTTTTATGCGCATGCGTAGATAAACCAATTAAATCTATTAAAGTTATTAGATGATGATCTAAATAATTAATGTAGTTTACCACACCCACTTAGCCATTATCATTATGTCGGAAGGTGATACATGTACTCAGAAAACTAAGAGAAAGGAACAGCAAAGAGACTAGCTGCTTCAAAGAGCTCATACTATCACGTAAGACACAAGTAATACCAACAGCAAATACACTCGTTCTATTCCTCTATCACCAGACGGGCGGCTGTTTGATCAAGTGGAAAACCTAAAGAAGGACATCGCTAGACTGGAGTACCAGAACAATGAACTGGAGAGGGTGAGCCTACACTAATAACTCACTCATTAGTGATTATTGATAGGATCTAAGAGAAGGAGGGGCAGTACAGGAGGAGGAGCTA